ATACTTTGGAGTGCCTTCCGAAGGTATGGCGTTCGAAGCAATGTCTGGATCTCCTTTCTTCTGTGCTATAAACGAAATACTTCTGCGTCGTTCTTACGTGTAGAATTGAATGCGAGTTTTGTCCCCCCAACTACTTTCGAAAATACTTTTCCACCGATAACTGCAGAATCAGTCGCAACAATAACAAACATGTGATTGGCGTGGATGGCGGAGGCGTGAAGGGTGTCTGGAATATAGAGTGGTAAAACCTGCTGAATAACAAACCAACATCCGATACCGCTAAGCTCCCCGCAATCTCTGAATTTACATTTTATCTGCAATGAGCTCGGCGCGATCGTATATAATGTGCAAATGTTGGAATCGATCAATTGTTCAACTATTTACTGTGGTTACTTCATACTTTACATCTTATGGGTCTGCTGTAGTAAGTAAATTAAAAAAAAGCTTGGTTGAAAGAGCCTCTAATTTGTACGTTACTTCAGCTGTGATGTAGTGATGATAGGGCTGTGCAATCATCACATAGACAGTAAAATAGATCGACGGGATTTGAACCCAGAACCTTGGGGACGGAGGTTCCGCGCTGTACCACTATACCAGCTCGCACCCCTGAGCTTCTCACAGAGAGTATGATTTCGGTAAAAGTGAGATAACTAAAATGAAAAAGGTGGATACGCAATGATAGGTACACAGACTTCACAGACCTTACCTATTCTGTGTACTTAAAAAAACCATTTCGTGAATCTAGCTACAAGTACACAAAGATAAGACAACACTCAAGTTTGTACGGGTCGACGGTCGATAACGCTTATCAACATCAGGTTACGTTTAGTGTCGTCCGGTCAAGAAATCGTACAGTTTATTGATTTGTGTTAAAATTTGCCTAAAATACAATATCGTAAAGTGGTGTTGTCAAATTTCACAGTTAAAGTTGTTGGGAGTTAAACAAAAAATTGTTAAATTCAGGACGAAAATATCGTGCTTTTGTAAATATCCGTGTTTTATACGACAACTATTTAATCATGCTACATAAATAATAATAAAATAGAAGTTTCGGATTTTTATTAGTGTTGAAAAAAGCGTTTTTTTGTTTCTCATCATGAAAACTATTATAGTTTAAAAATTAAAACCCAAAATTCAATAGTAGCATAAACGATAACATATTTTTTCATACTATATTGTGTTTTTTGATAGCAAATGCATATAACAAAAGAACAGCCTAAAATTGAGACATGCATACACATTAATATATCCTAAAACTTTGTACAACTTCTATCCTACTGCGTGATGGAGAATATCTGCAATAACATTGTAGGCTACATAAAGATGTCTACTCTAGCCTCCAAGTCAATGTTTATAACGAGTTATAAGCAGTTGGTATTTTCCCTTTGGTTACATCAACATTTTCCCTTTGTTATTCAGTGTCGGTCCCAGGGGGGGATGGGAGGGATATATCCCCCCGAAATATTTTATATTTTATTTGCTGACGTAAATACTTTAACTTGAGCATATTTTAGAGCTCAAATGCGTATACAATCTTTTTTAGCCTATACACAATATATATATATATTTATATATATATTTTATGCAATATACACTATGTTTTGTACACAAAACAGTGAGTTTCGTTGATCCAATTATTTTTCTTTACGTAATTCAAGAAAAGATTTTTTAATCATATAAAACACACAGTTTTATAGATTCGTCCCCATAAATTATGCTTAATTGTGTTGCAAAGACCTAGCAGGTTGTTTAAATTGTCTTGATTCTATATTTATTACTACCTACATACTGCTACAAAAGCTACAATTATTTTGAATATGCATCTGGTTGGCTCCCCCAAGCTCAAAACAACTGTTTATAGGTGAGAACCCCCATGGAAATAAATAGCAGATCAAAATAGAACCCCCCTTTATAAGTAACAATGAGTTCTTGTCTAACGAATGTGTAACTCCTTACCTTCGTCCTTTTTATTCACCAATTATAAAAGCATAAAAAACAATCACAGATAAAACACCTACAAATAATACTAAAACTATAGAAATCCTAAACAAAAATAAAGGAAAACGCGAAACACATAGTAGTACAGTATTCAATTTTTACGACGGATTAAGACATAGAATCTATTTTAATAGTACAAAAATAAAAAAACAATATTTAGTTACCATTGTCAAACTTAAAAGTATAACCAAACAATGAACACATCGAAAGTTTATTTTACAATAAATTAGATAACACATTATATAAAGCTTACTACATTTAGTTACCGGTAATATCAACGTACTCAAGCATAGCCGACATGAAAGAAGGATCATAATCAAAATCTACAATAAGATCATGAATCTACTTCGAACATCAAGAACTAATGTTATGATCTAACACTAAATAAAATCGCGTTGAACATTTAAAGTCAACCGAGGGTAAGTTATTTGAATGATCACAAATCTAGGCCAATGTGTCACTAGAGTTTGCATGACAAAGTTGTAACTTCTGGTCCAAACATGACATTGTTGTCATTCAGACCCACTGTTGCGTGATATTTTTCAACTGTGCTCTGGGAATTTGAGAAAGACTATTAGAACTATTCTCATTACCAAATACGTAAATTGTTGGATCATAAATAGTTGTTAGGGAAAAGAACGTGTAAAAAAGCTTGACTTACATCGCTCAACGTTAAAATTTTCTTTGGAATTGTGAGTAAAATTAGTGTTTTTAAATAATTTGTATGTGTGACCTTTTATGTCTAAATAATAAAGCGGTTCCTAAATATTAATTATTTATTGGTGTCCTTAGCACAACGAAAAGTGACATCAGTTGACTACACCATCTGCTGATTTATTTAATTAATACTCATAAATCATTGAAACATAATACGCAAACTTATTTAACCTACAACATTATGAGGGTACAACTCTTTGCAAATAATAGCATATTTTCTTTAATTAATTATTACATAAACTTTCTTTATCCAAAACGATAAGAAAAAATCGAGTTTTGACATTAGCACACATATTGGTGCTCCATATAGATGAGATGTAGAAAGGGCTAATGTTACACATTATACTCATAGACGTGTGCTAGAGACTTAATATTCTATATGATTTTTGATTTGGGCTCAACTACTATAGGGAAGTGAGTGTATTTATTTTTATCCACACTTCGTCAAACTACTTAATTCCCCGTTACTTTCTCACTCCGTTGGATTCACGTACAAAACTAACATGCCCCACATAAATTCAAAAACACTTAGGAGTTTGAATTACCAGCCCCTATAACGACCTTTTTTCTTTTTCGCCCCAAATCCGATTCAACCGCCCCGAGGCAGCTGGCGGACCACATTTTGGGGCGTCATTAGCCCCCATACAAAGATACTATCGGGGTTTTCGGGTCGCGAAACAGATATGGGTGATATATGTACCCTGAAACCGTCCCGGTCGAAATTAAAGGGACTTGTCACAATCAGGCTAAATACATGGGACCCGCCTTGGATGGCAATCACCGGCGGTGGAGATGGATCGGTGCTTTATTAGCCATGAGGGGTTTAACTGTAAATTGTGCTAAATCGGGTTTGGGAACATTGCATTTAATGTTCTAGTTTAACTGTTAGAAGCTGTAATATTTGTTAATAAGCTCATTATCTGTTTTCGTAGCAGCTAATGCGTATGTGTTTCCCCCATATTTTATGTAAGCATTCCTAAATCTCGTTTTAGCTAATATATTTTCATTTTCTGTGCTTTCACTGCAGTGGGTTTATGATTTTATAAAACAAGAGGGTACAGCAGTTTTGCCGGATTTCAATAAGTATAAATTTAATACATTGTGTATATTTGTTACCAATACAATATTAGTCCTTAGCAAAGACAACACTTAGTATTAGGGGTTGGTGACTTATCTACGAAGGAGGGACGGGATCGATCCACATTAGTATATAAGTATTTACGTTACAAGTCGTTTTAAGCTACCAGCTACCTACTAAAGTTCAATGTCATAGTATAGGGCCTACCCACAGCTGAATCCGAGGAAGTTGTAGCCTACCTATCCACACTTAAAACCAGCTCCGAAGTTGAACTTTACTTTTATAGCGAAAAAAAAAACTATTTAGGGTACAGTTGAGTCTGGATTTTCTAACATCATCGGGCACAGTAAGGTCGGATAACACGGAAAATAATGAAAAACACATTGTAAAGCTTTTAACAATTATATTGAAACATTGAAGACGTTTAAATTAGACACATCAATCTGTGCATATTGCTTATTCCTTAATAAAATAAAATAATGTATTCAAAACTTTCTTTTCTACCGAAACTATATATTAAAAACTTAACAGCGAAGTATACACATTCAACAGATAAGATAGATGATTAAAAAAACAAGTAAATTATATTTAATAAATGTTCCTTTAGGTGGACCAAAAATCACTTGGGATTTGTATTAGCACAGAGTTAGTACGGTAAGCAAAAGTAAGAGTAAGAGTAATTAAATCTTTTAGACGTACAAACGTAAAATTTCTGCAATGTAAGTTAAATAGAAATGAATGTGAAGTAAATTTAGACAAAAATAAATCTGCAAAAGAGTTATTTTACAAATAAAGGGAATTTGTATAAATATTAAGTACATAATCCAGATAGTATATTTTTCCCCAAGCATTAACTTTAGCTTCTCTGCGACTCGAAATGGGCGAATAGTATGAGGTAAATAAAAAAGTTATCATACATATGTGGGAAGAATAATACAGACTTGTTTTCTCTGTATGTAATAATATAATAGAAATTATTGATTGTCAATTGCATCTTTTAATCAAGAATGTAGGCATTCTACATAATATTTACATTGTTTAAGTATTTTGTACAAGACAATAAACCTGATAACGTTATGCTTCAATCCAATTCCAGCGGGACTGAAAGCGCAGGCAGTCTAGTACGAATGGAGTAAGCAAAAACGTGTGCAGCCGACTAAAGTCGTTCTGTTTTTTCGTGACGTCAGTTAGTAGTCTCGTCATGGCCGCGATCGCGAAAGACGGGTTATTAAATAAGTTACCAATTATTGTGATTTTGGGTGCGACTGGTACAGGAAAATCCAAATTGGCTTTGGAAGTTGCAAAGCAGTTCAATGGTGAAATCATTAGTGCGGACGCAATGCAGGTATTTATTTCAAATAAGCTCTATCTCGTGTCTTACCACCTAAACATAACCTCACTTTTAACCTAAAAGTAATTGAATGCTTTATAATATGAATTTATATGATTGTTAAGAATAAGTTGCATTTGTAATGGAATAGATACAATGTGAACTTGATGTTATGAACCTATTGAGTGAAAATTTTACAATCCTACGTACAAAATGAATTTGTTCCACTAGAGAACATGTGATTTCAAACCAAGTTTCTTGTTTTTGATTATAAAGTAGGCCTATTAAATTATTTGATGCAATGGTATCAATCTAAACATATAAATAAAATGCTGTTTTTTTTTCAATTTTTAAAGGACTACTTACGAAGGCCACTTAAGTTATTTTACTGCGCACTGCTTCGGTTATGTTAGGATCCGGTTACCATAAATATGTTTGTAGGATCGTAGGACTTTCCTCGTTTTGTTATGAATCGAACGATACCAGATGAGTCATAAAAGGTTTATGACAATCCAACCTAATATAACCGCCACATCACGCTGTAGGTATAAGGGTGGCCTAGCCTACGTATAATACGAAAGTAAGTTATCAACAAAATTCAGGGAATGAATCAGTTCTTTAGTAGGCTTAAATTATCCTGACTTAACCTTGTTACACTACATATTTTATCAGTCCACCTGATCCTTGAAATAGGCCACCCTTAGTACTACTTATACATTTATCCAGTGATCGATTTGTAATAAATGATGTGCCGGAACTATAACCTATTTAACTTAATTTGATTGGTAGGCCTACTTATTTATGCCTATATTTTTATCTACCGTATTCGTAACAGAGGTAGGCCTACTGGAACTCCTTTTTGCCGCGTTCCTCCGCAAATCGAGCACTGCATTTATCACTATGAGTTTTACTTTTTTTTATTTGTTAGGCTATGTAAAATAAAGATGTCAATTGAAATACTGTAGGATAAATAAATAAATACATTCGGCCTAAATAAAACACATCGTAGCAATACCGTGTAATAAGTTACCTAGTTTACTTTTAATCCATCTGTTTGCGGAACATCTATTAAATTAGACTATAACCCATTTCAGTCAGGCGTTGATTATAACTATTGATTGATTAACTTAGGCTACCTACTCAATAATCCCAGATTGAATTTCAACTACCTAACTTAGATGGGATGAGTTGTCATCTTAGATTTGATCAAGAATGTTGTCAAATCACTTGTTGACAATTCAGAACCTTATGGGTTAATAGGAGCATTTTGGCCAATTGTGAAAGTTTTATATTACGTTGTTTAGCTTAATCTAGGCCAATTACATGCACTCGGCACCGTATTTTTAATTGGATTCAAGTACCTACGGTTTTGAACTATTAGGTACGGTATAGCGTAATGCATCCTCTAAAAAATATCGGAACACTTAAGACTGCAGCATGTACATTTAACTTACATTAAGACCCAATGCTGAAAACAAATATTCTATAAGATACCCTACTCAGTGTACATACTAGCCTCATGTCCTCATTGAATGCAACAGCAGGTGCAGTTCCGCAGAAACCCTACGATATATTATCAGATGAAATCTTCATTCGATATAGGTTTAAATTAAATATCAAATTGAAATATTTGATTCAATGTACAATAACTTAATGGTATCCTTCATACCTATCATGTAGGTAGTGTAGAAATATTTTTGCATAGCTATACTTCCATGGTCGAATCGTTCCATTCCATGTTGTAGCTTAGCGATAGCCACCCATGTTCTTTCCAACATTTTGTCCGTAGCATTGCATTGAATTGGCTGGATACCCTACCTCATGGAGTTTTGAGTTTTTATTCTAGGTCAGGCTTCACCGTGTGATATTCTCTTTTTTGCATCACCTTTAATTTAACGTTGGCTACAACCTTTTGCTGGTAGTGTTCCATTAGCCCATTACATCTTGACAGGGCTGCTGCAGTAAATGTGCCCTTTTGGCCTGGGTTAAAAATCCCAAGAGGTTTTAGCTTTGTTTAAGGGTGCAAAGAGAAAAATTTTCCGACTCGAACGGGGGCCAAAAGTATCTCTCAGGCCCATAGTACGTCACATGCAAACGGGGAATTGCATTACTTGAAGCAGGTGATCTGCTAATCAAGTATTTTAATTGGCTACATTTCCGTTACTGACAAGCTAAATGACCTGGGTAAACTATTTATGTGAGTAAAATAAGTCTAACGTATTTAAAACTTGGCATTTCACCGGTAATAGAATACTTTCCATTTATCATGGATATAAGTGTTGACTCTGTGGCTTTGGCTAGACCAAAGGGAGCAAACAGATCCTGAACTGTCTTTTATTTGTTTATTTGTTTGTTTACGGCATAATCGCCATTTTTACAATCAAAAACATGCATACCGGTAACAATTTGTGGATTTTTCAATTTGGTCTTCAAGCTAAAGCATGCACAACTATTATTCGAGTTTCCAAAAAATGAGTTCCTTTTGTTCTTTTCCGAGAAGCCTTAGGAGTCCTAAATTTAGACCTACTCTACGCTTTCAGTCAGAAGGGGTTTTAATACTTTTTCGAGTAAGGAGTCAACTCATAATCTAAACCTATTGCCCTAATTTGTTCAGGCGACCAGTCAAACCCCATATATCGGTGTTCTGCATTGAGTGTAGGCCCTATTCACTGGATCAGTCTGTATGGGACGGATGGACTTTAGATAAGCCTACCTCTACAGTCCCTTCTAGCATTTTGTGCCACTCCAAGCATCTGAAAAGGCGGAAGGTCCGTTCCGTCCGAACCGAAACACTTGCGTGCTCTACAGACGGCATCGAAACGGCTGATGACTCAGGTAGGCACGTCAGGATATCCTAGAACTCTTTTTCCGAACTTTCTTTCGGACAACGGAAGGTGCGGATGGTCCTGTCCCGGCTTTGGCGACCTAGTGCACACATAGGTAAATCAATGCTAAAAATCTTGGTAAAATACCGTTTGTACTGTCAATTATAACAGGTTACGTACCTTGACGTCCACAATTCCTTAGTCGGTATCCATGAATAAATTGTACTGTCAGTCGGTGCCGTCCCGACCCAGTGCGTTCTTAGCTTTCAATTTTCTAATTCTCGTTGTTCAATTACAGTACAAGTTATACAAAGATTATTGTCAAATAGGCTAAATATAAAGATGAATCTTACCATACTTATTGCAAAATAATTATTTTAGGTAACTTAACATAAACTAAATACAAATTTGATGCAAAACATTGTATGGCATGTTCAACATGCCTACAGTATACCTTAATTTATAGTGTTAAATGTTTGTACTATTTAGTTTGGAGGCTTGTTGTTATAAATTGTTATAACACCTAATTTAAAAAAAAAAAATGTTCACTGATTGGTGATTATCTTTAGTGTTGAAAATAATTCGGAGTGCTTTTTTTTGTTGGTGAAGATTTTTGTGTAAGATTTTCTTAGTTTCCCCTCCATAAATTGCTATCTCATAAGACATGTGAGAATTTATTAATACAAAATAGATGATTTCTAAGGTACGGTACCAATATCTCACACCCTTGACATTTGTCGCAGGGTGCATCAGCCTTTTGAAATTTTACCAATTAGGCTACAAGCTTAACATGTTTATCCCAATTTAAGTTTTGATCCAATATCAGTCCGAGAAATTTTTTATGCTCTACTTGACTCATAAGACACTCAGTTTGAATCATCAATGTAAATGTTCCGGATAAATTTAGATCTTGATTTTTTTTTGGATTTTTACTGCTGTTACTGCTTTACTTTAATACTTTATTCCGAAATGGCGACTATACAAATGCTGGTATTTTAAGGCAAGTATGAATGGAGATGAGTGTAGGATGAGTGGCGCGATCTTTTAGTCTTGTTACTGACTAAGGCCGACATATTCCTTAGACTCAGCTGATTAATTAATAGCCCATACAGCAAATGGCAACTAAGGAACCTACGTTTATTGTGGAATCCGAACCACTTTTCTGCCTTGTAATTAACAAATTGGTCTAATCATCAGGATAGTTTTGCGGATAGTTGTAGTACTCATTAGTGCAGATGTAGTCCACACCAGGGAGTATCGCATCCACAGTGCATGCCCATAAATATCCACAATTTCTGCAGTTCGTACCCTCACTCTGATGAAAGATTCGAGTAATATCACATCTATTCCTAATAATATCACATCCTTATTGATGTATAAAACATGTCAGAGGTGTTTTAAATGAAAAAAGCAGAAACGTTTGGTGTGTAAAGCACTTCATACAGCTAAATTATTTTAAAGAGAATAAAAAATTGAACCCGTTTGTCTGGTTGTTGTTCACCACCCATGGTTGTTGTTGATTGGGTGTTGGTACGGAAGATTATTGATACTTGGGCGGTTGGTAAAGTAGGGTTGGTAGAATTGCTGAAGCATCTCGAAATGGTGGGCACAGTCCAGGGCCCGGGTGAGATGCCAACCTCAAGGCTCTCCTCTGTTGCTCTCTCTATTGCAGGCTGGAGATGCGGTTTAGGGGCTGTCGATAAGAGGGGATGGGTGTAGGTGAGGACGGGGCGTAGGTGAAGACAGGTGAGGACGTAGGTGAGGACGGGGCGGGGCGTAGGTAAAGACAGGGCGAATGTGTCCTGTATAAGGGCGTAGGTGAGGACGGGATGTTTTACCGAGGAGTTTAAGATGTTCAAGGGTCACGAATCACGGGATGAGAAGGAACACGGACAGCAACTGTCGTTGAGGATGTTGCACGGAGGCGGGTGGTGGCTCTTTTCTTGGAGTCTATGGTGGGGACCAAAGGAAAGTTTGAAGTCAAGCTTGTCTCCGAGGTAGGTGCAGGACTTTAGGGTGTGACGGACTATGTTGAAATGGATGGAATCTGATTTTGTTCTGCGGAATATTCTGGAGTTGAAATTAAAAATAAAAGAGTTGGGTATTTGCAGCCTTAAAGGTGATACGACACCAGAGGCAGTAGGAAAGGTAGTTTTAGAGGATAATTTTTGTTATGCAGATGAAGGTGTC